ATTGGGGCATTACACCTGAAAAATTCAAGCTTTGATATGAACATAGCCTTCATCCCTATTTCAAACAAAGAAAACTTGTGAGTTTAAAATATGGTGGTTAGTTTGTGGCCTTGACTTTGAGGGCGATTGCTCCTTCAGTTCCCATGATAACTTTGATTTCAACTTGAAAGACCTTGCTGGTTTATTGACTAACCACTTTCTCTATCACCCTTATCACAAAAATACCTCTGATCCATTCAAACCCAATACCCTTTATCTGTTGCATTATGCTCACGAATTGACATTTACCGAATCTTTGTATTTCACATGAATCCCAAAGCATGTTGATTGTTACCAACTCAGTGCACATACTATTCTTTTTTGACATACGCCACTTTGATGTGCTATCCAGATTCCGCTTTGTGCAATTGGAAAACTAGTAGTAGATTCTGAAGTCATTTCTTTACTTGTTCTGACAAAATAGACTCCAGAGAACTTAAACAAAGCAAGAAGAACAGAGTTAAGGGGACAACAGAAAGATATGACATCTAACAAGAAAATCACCGACTAGAAACTTGTCAGATATAGATACCAACTCTAATGACGTGACATGTATTTTGAATTAAAGTGGCCTAATCTGTTAAACAAGTCTAATGTTCAACTCTTGTTGTGCCTCTAAGCTGTGAAACTGGGCTTCAACACTCCAATTGTCCCATTTGATCCACAATCCTCAGTCGATTTGTAGTGCCCTAAAGGGTTTTCACCATCAAGCCTCTCTCATTTTGCTCTTTTTCTGAACTCACCGTCGCCTTACGGTTCCCATGAGGGTTTCACCGATAAGACTCTCTCATTTATCATTTTCTCTCTTTACAATGAGAACACGGTATTACCCATGATGTAGGAAAATCATACTTTAACCACACTTGATTTGGCATCCTCAAAGATTGGTCGGAAGGTCTTTCTATGGACCATAATGTAGGCTTTTGGATTAGGTTGGAAAGAAAGGGTGGCATGAAAGCTCAAAATAATTTAAGATGAAAGGGTTCAAAATTATAACTTTTGGAATCAGATCTTTTGGCCAAAATTAAAACTTCTGCTCCAGTTTCTTAGATTTTGGGGAATTTTTTTTTTCTTTTTTTTTTCTTTTTTTTTTGGATTTTTTTTGGATTTTTGTTCTTCTTTTTTTTTTATAGATTTTTTCTTTGATGGGACCGAACCTCAGAGTAAGGCTGCCTAGGAATCCTTAAAAGGAATCAGGTCGAACGTAGTTGCAATACAAAGTTGGTTTTTTTTTTCTTTTTTTTTCCTTTTCTTTCCTTTTCCTTTTTTTTCTTTTTTTTTCTCTTTTTCTGTTCTTTTTCTTATTTTTATTCCTTTATCTTTTCTTTTTCTTTTCTTGTTCCTAACTCTACTTTTGATTCCAAAAGAGGGGTATGAAGCAAAACAAATTAAGGCTCAAAAGGAGTAGCAAAAGATAAAAGTGTTTGGGTAGCAGAATAAAATGTCTTCGTCATACCAAACTTTAAAAATGTCAGGTACACATATGCAATTGAAGGTAAGAAAAGAAATCATACATAGTATCTACTAATGGAATCAACACAAACAGAAAGTGCCGACGGGTAATACCTTTGTCCCAATAAATGATCCTTGCCAATTAGAAACAAACTTGACTCAACCTTATCTTGATGTGGAAGAATGCATTTCAACACTGACTGATCTACCTCAAACTGCTTGAGAGACATTTCCTTGTTGTGTGCTCTTATCAACTTCTTGATTTCCTAGACTAACTGCCTCAGTTTCACTCCATTCAAGCTTCAGGTTATCTCAGAATGCGTGAATCTTTACTTGTTTTCTCAAATGCATCCTTTTATCATATTCAAAACTATGTGATTGCTTCGTGATTAAACTATTTATCAAGACCAGGCTGAGAATTATGCATGCATGTCATGTCACTAGAGTCAGCATGAAAAGAACTATAAAAGGAAAAGTGACCTATAACAAAAATAGACTAGAACTAACAGGAAACATGAGACTGCATTAGACAGACGGTGAAAAAGGTTTGAACAAAACAAGCAGAAGTGACATGGGTTACAGCCCCGGAACAATCCTAGATAACACTAGACGAGTTACTACCACTAAACGAACTAGGCAAAATAAGAAGCAGAAGATTTTGAGCCACAAGACAATGTCCGGATTACAACCCTGAAATGACCCGAAAAACAGAAATGACAACAAAATAAAACCACCAAAACTCCTCACTGGCTAGCCAAGAAAGGAGTGTCTTTTCAATTACCAAACTTGACATCTCAGCCACTGGATTGCACATCAAAATTGTTGGGGCCTTCACCAATTTCAATATCATTAACTTCAGTCAGCAAGTTCCCAAAAGGATTCTCATTCTCCCTGTCACCACGCATCTCCCTAACAAAGTGTACATCATCATGTGCATGTAAAGGATTTTGTGCGATATTCTGGGTGTCACTGTCCTGGACCACAATTACCCCTTCTTGAATCATTCTTTCTATCTCCCTTTTCAAAGCACGACAATCTTCAATGCCATGCCCTTGGACATTAGAGTGGTACATGCACCATACAGTAGGATCAAAACCTTTTGCATATGGGTCCGGAGTATAGCCGAGGAGTGGCTCAATCAGGCCAGACTGTTTTAGCTTTTCAAACAAGCTTGTGTAGGATTCTCCGATTGGAGTGAGACTATTTCTTTGCCTTTGTTCCCCTCTATACCCCTATTTCCTAGGGTTGTTGGGTGCTTGAAAATGTTGTGAAGGCGAAAAAGTATTATGTGGTGTTGGTGTTTGCCATAAGGAGTGACCTAGTGGTTGAACAAATGACTGGACGTTGTTCGGAGGATAATACTGAGGTGGATTATGTAGAGCTTGAGGATAGGTTTGGGGTTGGGGTCGGGGTTGAAGCTGAGTATATTGGTGAGGAGGACCCGTTGGGCCGTGTCGTGATCTTGAGACAACCATGACAACATCATCATATTTCTTCTGACCCGACAAGCTTCCTATATCGTTCAGAATTGCCCGTGTTATGAATTTTAAGGAAGAATAGCTCATGATCTTGCTTGACTTCAGTCCTTCTTCCACCATTTATCCCATATTTACAACATCATTGAAAGGCTTACCAATAGCTGAGATCAAATGGCCGAAGTAAGTAGGCTTCAGGGCTTGAAGAGAGTATTCAACCATCTCATCTTCTTCCATCGGAGGATTGACCCGTGCAGCTTGCTCCCACCATCGGAACCCATATTCTCTAAAGCTTTCACTGGGCTTCTTTTCTACCTTGTTCAGGGACAGGCGATCCGGGACAGGCAATTCGGGACAATGTCTATGTTGTACTGAAAATGCCGAGCAAAGGCCTAAGCCAAATTATCCCATGTGTACCACCTGCTGGCGTCCTGGCGGGTGTACCATTCTGGAGCTGCCCATCTCAGACTCTGGCTGAAATACGCCATCAGTAATTTGTCTTTTCCCCCGATGCCTCTCATTTTACTGCAGTAACCTCTCAAGTTAGCTACAGGATCCCCATGTCCGTCATACAAGTCAAACTTGGGCATCTTGAACCCGACAGGCAGTTGAACATCAGGGAACAAACACAAATCCTTATAAGTCACACTCACCTGGCTTCCTAACCCCTGCATATTTATCAATGATCGCTCCAAACTCTTTACCTTCCTAAATATATCCTCTTGCTCCGCGTTCTTGTGTGGTTTGTCAGTTTCAACATGAGGCTCAAGGTGGGGAGTGTAGGAGTAAGGATCTGAGACTTTGAAGGTGGGTTCCGGGGCATAGTATTGGGTATCTGGAGCTGGGAATGCAGTTGTTTTGGCTGGTGGAGCATGGAAAGTTTAGGAGAAAGTGTCAGGGTAATTGTGGTAAGGGGTAAAGCCCGATGCATGTTGAGGAGAAAGGTAAACAGTAGTGGGCATCTGGGCGTGGGACAGCGGTGGAATGGAGGCATGGTTTTCTTTATAGTTGGTAGGGAATAAAGGTGGAGGATGTCCCTTAATCCAGGCCTGATACATTTTTGCCATATGATGTTTCAACCTTCGGACCTCCTCTATCAATTTCGATTCCGACTCGACATTCTCCCTCGGTGGGTCTACAACTCTTGTGTCCAAGTCTTTGCTAGCCATGTCTACCTTGCTCTTGGACCTTATGTTGTACAGATGACTCGTCAAAATGCCACAAACTAACCACCCTCTGTTATGATAATAATGAAAGTAACAAAGGGGAGCAAAACAAAGCCAACATGTTAGCATTTGGGCATTTATCAGATATAAATATCACATTGCGTGCAATGCCCCTAGCAACAATTAATGGTTCTAGAATGGCTTCGAGTGTCACAAGGTCATTTGGCATCATCCCAATTTTGTTTATTTCAATTTTCTCTTTCCTTTTTTTTCTAGTACTTCTTGGCTCGCTCATTTTCCTTCCTCTTTTTCTTTTTAATTGTCACTCTTTTCTTTCCTCTCATTTCTCACATCCCACAACTTTTTTCTCTTTTTTTTAAATTTTAAAATAATGATTTGATCGAACCCTATGTAGGTTGCCTACGTTTCATGTTCCACATAAATCAGATCAAGCGTAGTTCTGAAAAAGTAGTGGACAAAATAAACTAAAAAAAAAATTGGATTTTTCATTTATAACTATTTTTTTTTGTTTTCGAATACAAATGGGAAGTGCGATGACAAAAGACTTGAAAAACTCTTACACCACCTAAAAGACTTAAAACTACTAGATGAGACAAGAAAGTAAAAGAAAATATGAAAATGGACTCAAAATATAAAAAGTCTCTTCAAACAAGCTTCCAAATGCAATGGTTCCGGGGTATTTGTCATGCTCGAGCTCTGGTACATTGATCCAAAACTGAATGAGAAAAACAAGACCAAATAGAGTTATAGACTCAAGACACTATGCAACGCCACAACACCTCCTACGGGACACATGCAAGACACGATTGAGCTATTTGTGAAAATTAACCTATGTGGCCAAGAGTGGCTAGAAGTGTAAACTCAACAAGATTGACCTCATAGACATGGAAAATGCCTCACTAAGGCTTATATGGATTCAAACTCCCAATATCATGGTCCAAAATTAATTTGCGAAAATGCTCCATTTTGCAAAAGTGATCGATATGGCCAGAAGTTGCTAAAGATGCAAACTCAAAAGGATAGACCTTAAGGTAGTGGTACACTTAGTTGTGACCTCAAGATTCTGAGACATGGATCAATGAACCACTTTTGCGGAAATGACTCCATTTTGCAAGAGTGGCCGATGTGGCCAAAAGTGGCTAGACATACAAATTCAACAGGAATACCCTTAAAGCTGAAAGGACACCTTGTTCAAGACAAAAGACTCTAAGATATGGGATAACAAACTAATTTGAGAGAATATCCCTATTCTGCAAAAAACGGCCGATGTGGCCGAATGTGGCTAAACATGCAAGATTTGGCTAAGACCCCGCGAAACCAAAAACCTAAGACTCACTAGGAAGATCGGGTCCTATGTGGGCTGCCTACGTATCTTGTCCCTAAAGACAAGAATCAGTTATGCGTAGTTCGGGAAGATTGGATATGAGATATAATTTAAAAAGAACACCAATTTAAAGAAAATATATTTTTTGTCTTTTTTTTTTTGAAAAATGATGAAACATGTAAAATCTTTTTTGGATTTTCTTTTTCTTTTCTTTTTTAATTTTTGGAAAATGATGGGAAAGTGCAAATCTTTTTTGGATTTTTTTTTTCATTTTCATTCATTTTTTCTGTCTTTTTCTTGAAAAAGTTGTGAAAGAAAATCATAACTGGGCCCTACTTACTTCATTTTTATACTTCACCCTCTTTTCTTATTTATTTGCCCTCAACTATCATTGGTCCACCAAATGACCCTTTTACCCTTAAAGAATGCAGCTTGTAGCACACATGGATGATTGAATGTCTTTCTAGGCCATGGGCCTGTTTTGACATAATTTGGATAGGCCTCCTAAAAAGGGACACGGTACCTAGAACTGAGCCCTACTAGGTCTAAATGACATGATGCAAATAAGAATAGCCTAAAGGCTGACCTAAGCTTAGGGTTTACTAACAAGACAATTTAGGGCGGTACGTGGTCGATGGCGGCTGCTCTAGCTGTCTGCCCACTCCACGCTCCCACGCCACCCCTAAAGATACGTGTGACTCACAAAAAGGCCGTGTACGCTCAAACGTACTCTAGAAGATTTGTTGCAGAAAGAAGACCCATGGTTATGCAAATGATGATAGTTATAAAGCAGTAAACACATAAGGAAAAGCGATAAACAAATAACTAACAAAACAGGAAATAAGACAAACAAACCAAATAAAAAAAATACCTTAACCGAAAATCCTAAAAGCCAACGAGATCAAGTATCAGCTCGAACCTGCAATTTCCTAGCAGAGTCGCCAGAGCTGTCACACCCCTTTTTTACAACCTCACTAACCCTCTTAAAATAAATAAAAAGATTAGTAAAGCTAAAAGGGTTTTCCAATTAGAAAATGAAAAAAATTTGTTCAAAAGGACTTTTCAAAGTCGCCACCTGACATTGGTTTCGGTGTGTCAGGTCACCGTTTTTAAAAATAATTTTTCCTTTTGAAAAACGTTAGACTCCAAAACTAAGTCTGCACCAGAGATTCGGGTAAGGGGGTTCATTTGACTCGGGGAGAAGGTGTTAGGCACTCCCCAAGTCCCATAACTAGTACGGTTGCGCACTTGATCAAATCGGCTTTTAAAATATTCGAATTGAGGTAAAACTAAACACATAAAAGAAAAATAAACACACAAGAGGCTCGAAGTTATTCCCACATAATAAAAGAAAAATGAAAATAAAATAAGAATAAAAGTACTATGAGTTCGTTTTCGGCCTCCAATTATAGAATACTACGGGGCATTGCCTGGAATAACATATATACAAATCCTTCGAGGCATTCCCCGGATAAATTAAACTAAGAGAACGACCTCTTACCTCAAATAAAAGAGAAAAATAAAACCTAAACTTTTCCTACCCGAGTATGGTCGACCTAAACATGATGCTAGTGATCCAGATTAAATAAATAAATAAATAAATAAAAAGAAATAAACTATCCCATGGACATTCACTCTTAAATCCAACTTTCTTTAATCCGAGCCTAACTCCCATGGCATAATACTTGTTTCACAATCTAAGCCACCAACCAATCATTAACTAATTAATTTAACTTTCCGTCACAAAAATGGTAATCTTGAAGCCTTACAGTATCTCTTAATAAAGAATTGCAACGGTAATTATAAATTCATCTTAGCCATTGCAAATTCAAACACATATTAAACTTAAACAACAAGAACAAAAGAGAGCAAACCAATAACAAGACGTTATTAAAATAGAGCAATAAGCAATATATCAAATACTAAGTATGATATTAAGCAAAATCACACAATAAACATTCAGGAAGCAGAGTAAGAATCGAACCTTTAGACAAGCTTTCCGATTAAAAATTTCCTCCGAGTAGTACACACAAGAGATTCCAACAGCAAAACTGAACTACATCTATTGAAATCGGATCGAATAAATTGCAATAGAAACTCGAACAACACCCAGCGGAACCTCCTCGACCCCCCCGTTCCCTCTGCTTCGTGTCCTTCTCTTAATTTTCTCTTTGGATTTTCGATCGTTCCTTGTCTTTGTTGTCCGTTCACTCACTCTGTTTTCTGTTTTTTAGTTTGTGTGTGTGTCTATTTTGTATTTTCGAGAGAATGAAGATTCATGTAAAAAGGGAAAGGCATTAGGTTCAGGAAGATGGAGTTAGAGGGGAAGACGGTTGTGTGGTGGTTAATGAAATTAAAGAAATTAGAGGTCCAAAAATGGGGTGCAACTATCCCGTTTTTCTTATCTCTGATGCGGCTGGCCTTCTCTTTTTGGTCTCTTAAGAGATTAAGGTCCTCTAGATTAGTCAAGTGTGTGTGCTACTAGTTTTTGTTAGAGATTAGTTGAGTAGATGAGAATTCTTGGGTGATGAGAAAATGGTATTGTCGATGCTAGAGAAGAAAGAAGAAGGTTACGTTTTTTCCTAATTTTTTCCCAGTTCCTATGTCTCCCCCTGACTTACTGTATTTTTGTGTATCCCTTCTATCTCTCTGCAAAATACTCCCCCTCTTTTCGTGTGAATGATGGATATATATCTTTATTTCTATCTGAAGTGCTTGGACAAGAAGAAAGAAAAATGTGTGAAGAAAGTGTGTGGTCCCCTCCTTGATAATTATCTGCCGTGTGAAGTGTATGGATGATAAGAAATATTTTTTGTGCCAACTGCCAAAATGTGGGTGTGAGTGGAGTGAGGTCAAAACAAAAGAGTGCAGGTGGATTAAAAATAAAATCAAAATCACAATAAAAGAAAATAAGTGCAAAGTGTGTGGAATGTGATTGTAGGAATATAAGCAAAAACAAATGCACAGTGAATAATTTGTGGGCAAAGCTTATGTGAATGTGTAATGTAAATGAATTGATGAGGTTGAAAAAGAAGTGGTCCCAAGTTGAGTGGCCACGTGAAAGAAATAAGGATTTTTGTCTTTGCTTTTACCTTTTTTTTTTCTTCATTTTTTTCAATTGTTCAATTAAAAAAATACAAAGATATTTTAGCTAAACAAATGCAAACACTTCAACTAAGTGTAACTGTCGAAAATTATTTTACAAAACAAAACTTTCTTAGATTGGGTAAAACCAAGGAGATGATATTCTTTTTCTATTTTTCTTTTGGGAAAGAAACGGTCACGAAATAAGAAATAAGAAAAAAATGCTAAATTTCCATGAAATAATTAAGAAAACACATGTGATTATTTTTGTAATTTTTAATTTTATTAAAAGTAAGATAAACTAAAATAATGAGGCATAATATCTGTTAGTTAAAATAAATAAACAAAAAACAAACAAAAAATATTTCTGTAGTTTTTGTTTTCAAGAGAAAATAAAGCAAAAGTATCAAAAATAGGCAAAGTAACAATATTATAACTAAAAGAAATATTTAGCACTACAAGGTGTAGAAGTCCCTGGGAGAGTCAAAAATTATATGTCTACAACTACCCCTCTTTGACTGGAAACACGAAGATTTTTCAGACAATGAATGACGAGACATGTTTTTTGACCCTACCCTTATTTAGAGATACCAAAAACTAAAAGAGAGGAGAATGTGATCGAGCCCTGATATCTGAGCTGCCTACATATCCTTTTGTATAAAGGAATCAGGCCACGTGTAGTTCAAGAGTAGAAACAGTGATGGAGTATACCGAGGTGGAGAGCCAATTGAGGTGCCGCCGAGGTTCCAGTCCGCGGTCCTCTTATTACATCAAATCAAAATCTAAAAGAACTAAGCAAGCCTATCAGTTATGAGTTACAAGATTCCTATCTATAAGTCTACTGAAGCTTGATCTTGAATCTTGAATGGTTCTTCTTGCACACTTTTGATTTGAACCTTGATGCTTGCTAGCTGCAGGTGTTGATTCATTCTTCCACGACTTCTTCAGATCAAGACCGGACATGTAGTGCTCGTAACTTCAACCATGTCTTGAGCAGTTCACATCTTTCATCTGCTTTGGCATTTGGATTTACTTATCTCTTCTTTTTCATTTTTTTCTGAAAGAGACTATTTCTGTTGGTCACCTCGGACTGTTGACTCGCGTTCTTGAGGCGAGCTTCTGCTACTTCTAACTTGAATTGAATTCTGAAATGACTTCCCTCGTTCTCCAGGTGGGCGCCTCTACTGACTTGAAACTTGAAATGACTCTGAAATGGACTCTGAAATGCCTTCACTCGTTCTCCTGTTGGGTGCCTGCAAACAAAACAACAAAACAAACAAAATTTTCTGTCCTAGTTTGCACTAGGAAGATTTGTGAGTTATTAGCAAAACTGTAAATCGCTTATGCTATTGATGCAATGGTGAGAGTAAACTAAAGACTTGACTAGGATGTGTGTCTCCTAGGGATGAACTCAAATAACAAAAACAAGGAAATGCGTCTCCTAGAGATGAAACTTGAATGAACCAAACTAGGAAGTGCGTCTCCTAAGGATGAAACTCCAATGATTCAAACTAAGAAGAGCGTCTCCTAGGAATGAACTTAAATGACTCAAACTAGGAAGTGCGTCTCCTAGGAATGAACTTGAATGACCCAAAACTAGAAAGTGCATCTCCTAAGGGTAAAATCTCAATTTAGGAAGTGCGTCTCCTAAAAACAAAAATATAATTTGAAAGACCCCGACTAGGAAGTGCGTCTCCCAGGGGTAAAATATCAATGTAGGAAATGTGTCTCCTAGGGGTGAACTTAAATGACCCAAAACTAGGAAGTGCGTCTCTTAGGGGTAAAATCTCAATTTAGGAAGTGCGTCTCCTAAAAACAAAAATATAATTTGAAAGACCCCGACTAGGAAGTGCGTCTCCTAGGGGTAAAATCTCAATGTAGGAAGTGCGTCTCCTAAATCAAAATATAACCTGAAAGACCCAAACTAGGAAGTGCATCTCCTAGGGGTGATCTTAAATGACCCAAAACTAGGAAGTGCATCTCTAGGGGAAAAATCTCAATTTAGGAAGTGCGTCTCCTAAATCAAAAATATAACCTGAAAAACCCAGACTAGATAGTGCGTCTCCTAGGGGTGAAAATTCAATGACTCAAACTAGGAAGTGCGTTTCCTAGGGGTGAACTTAAATGACCCAAACTAGGAAGTGCGTTTCCTAAGTGTAAAACCTCAATTTAGGAAATGCGTCTCCTAAAACAAAATATAACCTGAAAAACCCAGACTAGGAAGTGCGTCTCCTAGGGGTGAAAACTTTAGTGACTCAAACTAGGAAATGCGTCTTCTAGAACAACAATATAAGCTCAAATACANTAAGCTGAAAGACCTAGACTAGGAAGTGCGTCTCCTAAGGGTGAAACTTCAATGACTCAAACTATGAAGTGTGTCTCCTAGGAATGAACTTAAATGACCCAAAACTAGGAAGTGCGTCTCCTAGGGGTAAAATCTCAATTTAGGAAGTGCGTCTCCTAGAACAAAGATATAATCTGAACGACCCAGACTAGGAAGTGCGTCTCCTAGGGGTGAAAATTCCAGTGACTCAAACTAGGAAGTGCGACTCCTAGGGGTGAACTTAAATGACCCAAACTAGGAAGTGTGTCTCCTAGGGGTAAAACCTCAATTTAGGAAGTGCGTCTCCTAAAACAAAATATAACCTGAAAAACCTAGACTAGGAAGTGTGTTTCCTAGGGGTGAAAACTTCAGTGACTCAAACTAGAAAGTGCGTCTCCTAGAACAACAATATAAGCTGAAAGACCTAGACTAGGAAGTGTGTCTCCTAGGAATGAACTTAAATGACCCAAAACTAGGAAGTGCGTCTCCTAGGATAAAATCTCAATTTAGAAACTGTGTCTCATAAAATAAAAATATAACTTAAAAGACCCAGACTAGGAAGTGTGTTTCCTAGGGGTGATGTGTGATCTTCTCAATTGCCTTTGCATAACAGAATTGGGGCATTACACCTGAAAAATTCAAGCTTTGATATGAACATAGCCTTCATCCCTATTTCAAACAAAGAAAACTTGTGAGTTTAAAATATGGTGGTTAGTTTGTGGCCTTGACTTTGAGGGCGATTGCTCCTTCAGTTCCCATGATAACTTTGATTTCAACTTGAAAGACCTTGCTGGTTTATTGACTAACCACTTTCTCTATCACCCTTATCACAAAAATACCTCTGATCCATTCAAACCCAATACCCTTTATCTGTTGCATTATGCTCACGAATTGACATTTACCGAATCTTTGTATT